TCCACTTGAACCGAAATAAGCCACGTTCCAGGGCGCTCGGCTCACAGCAACATGCGCATGCGAAAGTGCAACCCTGCCAAGTGTTTCTCACATGCATGCACAAAAACAACGGCGTCAAATACGCGCAAAGCGCATACTACTACTACTACTACTACTACTACTACCACTACCACTACCACTACCACTACCACTACCACTACCACTACCACTACTGCTATTACTACGACTGCCACTACCACTACCACTACCATTACCATCACCAGTGCCACTAACCAGTACCACTACCACTACTACCACTGCTACCACTACCACCACCATTACCACCACTAAGACGACACCATCATTATCACTACCACTGCCGCTGCCACCACCACCACCACCACCACTGCCATTACCAAAGACTCCGCAGTGCTGTCATCGGCGTGCCAAGTGGCCGACAAAAAAACTGCCACTGCTACAACAACAACAACTACTACTACGCTACTACTGCAACTGGAGCCACAACTACAACTACGATTGCTACTGCCGCCCCTGCTGCTGCTGCTGCTGCTGCTACTGCTGCTGCTACTGCTACTGCTACTGCTACTGCTGCTCCTACTACTACTACGACGACGACGACGACGACTACTACGGCCTACGACCACGAGTACAATTGCTGCTGCTGCTGCTGCTCCTACTTCTACTACTACTACTACTACTACTACTACTCCGACGACGACGACGACTACTACTACTCCGACAACTGTTTCTACTACTACTGCTGCTACTACGGCTTCTACTACGGCTGCGACTGCGACTGCGACTACGACTAGGACTACGACATACCACTACTGCTACTAAGCGTGCGACGATGTCGACGGTGCAGAAGGGGAAGCCAGACGCAGTCGAAGTGGTGTAAGAAGACGAACAGCAAGACGAATCATGGCAAGAAGAACTTCTATAGTGATAATAACAGCATGAATCACAAGAACAACACGAGGACGACGAACAAATCGAGGATGATAGCACTGACGAGGATGCCGACGGAGCGGACGATTGCCATGTGAAGGACGGCAACGACTGCGCCGGCGATGGCGACGACGAAATGACTACTGCCCAAGACCAGACAAAATGAGTAGAAGTTGAATCGGCGTATGATGAATTCAGCTGGTGGGGTGCTTTTTCACAACCAACGCATCCAAAACGCACGTCCGACAACACAACAACATCGCAGCCCCTCAGCAATTCGGCGGGAAGCAGGTACCATGCTAAAGCAGTTGCCTACAACAGGTGTTGCTACTTCGCGAAGAGCTGGAGAAGGCCCGCATGGTGGCTGCGAAGGCACGCTGCCGACAGTGTTTAAGTCAGTACTATATATCAATGTACATATCCACGCAGTGGATATGACAAGCTGCTGGAATATGTAGTCCAATGCCAGGCCAAGGAATCCTGGGACAAGTTTCGCAAAGAGCGAGATTACCATCGCATGCATCATCGGCGGGTCGGATTCTGTGGTGAGTGAATTTGGGGCAGACTGGGACACACGGGGGGCCCCCCAATTTTCCCCCTGCCCCGGAAACATGACAGCACAGTCAGGTCGTACAGGAGAAGAACAAGCTCATAGTTGTCGCTCGGCCTTCTATTATTCTGCATGGACTGACCATGACTGACCCTGTGTGTGCCTTTCGCTGTTGATGTTCAGAGACGGAGACGGCCTAGGATCTCAAGCGCTTGAAGAAGCACTACGAACAGTACGAGCCTACGCTGACCGAGTTGCGGCACAAGTACGAAGTAGCAATGAAGGAGTTGTTTTGACTCTGTAGCACGTCCTGCTGCAACGCACTAACATGCAAAATACTTGTGGGTTGTTGACAAGGGGCTTTCCGGTGCAACAGGAGAAGATGCTCATGCGCTTGGAGCGTGACCGCTACGCGGCAAAGGTGCGCAGTTTGGTCCTAAAAGTATAGTCTGCATCACGAGCACGACGAGTGTCAGCCACTCTGCCAGGAGCAGAGGGCACAGAACGATAGACTTAGCTGTATGTTCGCGAGTCATCATGCGGAATAACGACCTGGAGCAGGTGAAACTGAGGACGTGTGGATGGTGGCATAGGTCAAGCTAGCCGACTGCCAGCGGCAGCGCAACCGGTGTATGGGACTGCGGAGAATGTCCAGCATTCAGAGAACGATCGGACCGCATGTTTTGATGTTAAATAGACAGATCGATTTTGTCAAGAAGCGTGGACCTTTTCTGGTTGATGTGTTGATTTGGGTTGGGCCGCTGAATCGGACCTTTGCAATTTTCGAACTGCAACGCTGCCACCAAAGTGTTCCGTGATGTTGCGTGCATCTGGTGCAGCAGTGGCCGCGGGGCGGGCGGCGGGTTATCTCCTACACCAGTGATTCGTTGAACGGTCCCATCACAGCAGTTGGTTGTCTTGGGACGGCTTGGAAGACTTCCTTGCTCCAGTTGATGTTGGAAATCTGGTGACGCGTCGGAATTCGGTCTCCTCGTGCAAGCCTCGGGACCTCAACTTCCAAGCAGCCAGTCGCTGAAAGCAGTACGTACACTAGACAAAATAAGGCTTCGGGCTGCTAGGGTGCCTGTCTGGTAGGCAGAGTCTTTGCAGAAGCAGCTCTCACAGGCTCTCGGTCTGCCTGCCCCTCGTCTTTAGTATGTGGCTGTCCTGACAGCAAGTGCAGGCTGAAGCCAAAGACGAGACTGCCAATAGCAAGGCCGGTGTGCATGTATTCAGCAAACTCTGCGTCCTTCGCAAGTAAGAGTGCAAGGCGCGAGTGCTAAAGGACTGCATGTAACAGTTGCCTCGTTGGTCGTGTTTATGATGCCTTGGCAGATGCTTTCTGGAATTTGGCTTCTCACGACAACTTCTGAAAGCATGCCCTGGTAAGGCATCTCGCCTTTCCCACGTGCTTTTCCAAATATCGTGTTTGAACATGAGGGTTGCAGAGCCTCGTTGTTTGGAAGCATGAGTTTAAGCAAGAGGTTAAGCCCTAGGCAGCTGAAAGGGCATTTGATTTAGGCATGGAACATTTTTCAACCAGCACGTGTTGGTATGTGTGTATTGCATGTTGCTCAGGGTTCGGTGGTTCGTGCATATCCCGGAGGTATCAACGCGGCGATTGGCTTTGGGCGGGGTTTCTGTCTGCCGGCATGGGATCCTTCGCACGGATGGGGGTGTCAGCATGGGAGGCTTCGTCAGCGGTGGATACATCGCTTCGATCCTTGAAACATCCGCTTGCTTCCATGTCATCATGAGCTGACCGCGTATTTGGGAGAGCAAGGGACCGCAGGGGTCCCGTTATGCACCTAGTATCTGTTGAAGATCTGCAGAGACGTGTGTTCGTCAACATTGGCACACGGCCGGGCACAGCCCAATGCAGAGGCGACGTTGCTCGTTTGGCTTAGTACCCTGATGGGTGACCGGGGAAGAGCCTTGTCGCAAGAGCTTCGCGAGGATGGCAAGCTGTCTTGTCCTGATTCTGGCGGGCCTGCCTGGTTGTTGCAGTTTGTTGTTCTTTGCGTCTGCAAGAATGCTCTTGCTTGGCATGGCTTCCTGCACGTCCCACATCGTCCCACCACATGCAGCTTGTCGCTCGCTCACTCTCTCACTCACTCACGCACTGACTCATGCACTCACGTGCTCACTGACTCATTCACTCACTCACTCAGTCACTCGATCATGAAGCGTTTCGTGTCTCTGGGCAGTCGGGTGTGAGCAGCACCCAGCTGAGCACAGTATTGGCCGCTACTGAGCACCCGGTTTGGCAGGATCTCACTGAAGGTGACGATGCGCAGAATAGAAAGAAAACGCTACGAGAAGCACCTTGGCCGAGCGAAGACAGGCCAGTGTGAGCAAGTCTGGTGCTTGTCAGCTGCTTACTTTAGTTGCAGGACCAACCCCTACACCAATTCAAACTTCGAGGTGGTGCGGGTGGCCGAGTTCGCAAGGCATGGCTGTGGGTGTGGAAGGGGTTGGAATCCTCGAATGTGACTCCGCTAAACATGTCTTGCTGCCAGAGGACGCAAGTCTTCAAAGGCCACTTGGGAGTTCGAGCCCTGATGTCCATGGACGTTTCGCCTGTTGGACTCATGGCCCCGTTGCCAAGGCGGTGTCACACGTCGCATTCCATCCGAAGATCCCGGTGGTAGCAACGGCGTGTGATGATCATACGTGGAAAATGTGGTCTGTACCGGAAGGCGAGGCATGCGCAAGGACGACATGTCGTAGCATTGAGAGAGATTCCTTCGGCTCGCAGGTCAACTTGTCCTAAGTGGTGAGGGGCACAGGCGAGGTAGCGAGTCCAGTCAGAAATGGCAGAGGATGCATCGAATATGTGCGGCAGGGATTGGGTCAGTGGCATCTCCTTTCATCCACGTGGCTCTCTGGTGCATGCCTTACGGAATAGCTGAATGGAATACTGAAGCTACAGAGTGCCTTCACCTCTCTTGAGCCAGATGCATTCTGTAAGATCGACTGTTCTTCGTCGGCGCCCAACACCTTCATTCAGGAGCCCGGTTCCCTCGTTGCGGGCCGCGGAAGTTGAAAGCCACTGTTGGATACTGTCGGCCACGATATCCCGAGTTCGAGCATCAGCCGCAACATCAGGCATGGGCCTGAAATATGACATCAGCAGAACTGCGAAACGGAGACGCAAGGTCCAAGCACAACGAGGAAGCAAGGTGTCAACATAGTGTTACCTGAGGTTATACACGAGCCTCACTTGTTTGCATTTCGGCGCCGTTTACATTGTATCTGGTGCTCGTCGCACAGTGGAAGATTGTAAGGCCTGCCGGTCTGTCTGTATCAGCAATATCAAGTAGGGTTTGTGCACAGAGGTCCTTGCGAGTTTTGGTGCGATAGGAGAGTGTATAAATTGGATGTTTATCTTGGTCACTGCCAATACAATACGACTTTAACTTTACTCCATATGGCATGGACTTGGTAAGCAGCCGGAATAGCAGAGTGTGCGACTCTCGTCGACTCTATGCATATGTACGCCGGATAATCTCCCGGACGCAGCTGGTCTGGGGCAGCGACCCGCGGACTTGCAGGAATCCCCGGTAATGGCGGTCCAGGATCAACATGTGCCATGCAGCGGAGGGGGCCAGACTAGAGTGACGAGAACCAACTGTGCACCAGCATGGCTGAAGCTTTAGGCTTGTAAACGGGAACAGCCTCACGCAAACTAGCTGCAAGAGCTTTAACTTCAACCGTGTGGATACTCGATTTGTGTCGAGATTTACAGATAGGTTTTCTCATCACTGTCACTCAGCTAGGCATCGGGATGCTCTGCAAAGCTGTGCGATTGCAGCTCAAGGTCGCGACCTCTTCTGGGGACTCGACCATCAAGATCTGGGATGTTGCGAAAGAGAAGTGCAAGCATACTCTGACCGATCACACCCAGTGCGCCTCTCGAACCAGTCGTGCACCTGCAGCAACTTGAAACAGAATCTGACTCCAGGCCTGTTTGGGCTTGCTCCTTTCACGACATGGGGGACTTTGTAGTCTCCTGCTCTATGGCCATAGGCCCAGCTTAGACTCCAGATATTCCATGAGATGTTCATGATGGTGTCAGTTGCAGTGAGGACCAGACGGTGAAGGCATTCGACATGATGAGCATGCGGTGCCGGCAAACGTTCCGTGGTCATGTAGACTCTGTGAACTTCGTGACTTTCCAGCCTTTCTCCAACAATGTGCTTACAGCAGCCGGTGACAAGACGATTTCACTGTGGGATCTTCGCAGCGGCCTTTGTGTGCAGACGTTCTACGGTCACGCAAATGCTTGCAATCATGCCATGTTCAACCTCAAGGGTGACACGGTGGCCTCATGCGATGCAGACGGAATTGTGAAGATGTGGGACGTGAGGGTGGTGTCCGAATTCCTTCAGATTGATACGGGACGTCACCCTGCCAACGCTGCGAACTTCGATCGGAGTGGAAAGGTCTTGGCCATTGCGCCGGAGCCTTGGGTCCTCCATGTCAAACGCCTTGTGTCATCGTTGCAAGTTCCATTCCGAAGACGGTGTGTGCAGGTCCGGCGATGCTTCTATCAAGACTTTCAATATAGAGGATAAAGTCTTCGTGGCCAACCTGGAGGGACATGAAGATTCCGTTCAGGCCGCGATGTTGAGTTCAGAGTGGGCTTGTGTGATGCTGGGTGGCCAAGCATGTCATGTGTCCGTGCGTGTTGCATACGAGTTCTCCCTGCAGGACGTGGTCTTTGAGCCGCAAGCAAACAAGTTCCTCATCAGCGCATCCTCCGATGCCACATTTTCTCTGTGGCAATGACCTGCATGCTCTAAAAGTTGCTCGCCTAGTGGAATGTTTTTCTCTCAAGCTGCGCAAGTATGAGCACAAGCGACCCGCTATGCAGGACACAACCGGAGCAACCCTGTTTCACTCGAATCTCGGTGCACTGTTCTTGGCCTTCGTGTAGCAGTCGAGGCAAACTACGCACTCGATGCTATGTGCAATTTGCAGAAAAGAAGATTCTTGGAGCTTTGCCAGGCCCCCTTTTAATCTGCGTTGCGTTGTACATACACGAGAAGCACAGTAACTAATAAGTAATGCGAGAGGGATGGCTTCAAGGAAATTTGAGGCATGACTGTAACTCTTGTTGGAGTGTTTTGGCCAGTCAGCCAGTCCTGTTCCTTCGTTATCTCCCCTCGTTTTCCCAGTGCCATGCCGGATGCCTCCACCATGACGGAGACGGACATCAGTTCAGACGGCAACTTGAGGGACGATGAGGTCCCCGTTATCTCCCCTCGCTTTCCCAATGCCGAGACGATGGAGACGGACATCAGTTCATACGGCAGCTTGAGCGACGATGAGGTCCTCGCGGCTCTGTCTGTGCTGCCTTGCCGGCGTGCTTTGCTACATAGGCTTGAAGATAGGCTTGAAGAAGCTCCTTTCAGGCAGCGCCACCTCAAACCCTAAACCCACGGAGCATACGGAGCCAAAGTAGTCGAAGGATTTGCAGTCCCTCCCTGAGTTCAAGCCCCGCTCGGATGAAGAGGTCACTCAGGTTGTTGACACGTGGCTTCCGCGTGTGCACCAGCGTGCCCGGGAGTTCTTCACGCATGAACAGATTCGAGATGTGTTGAAGACTTTGGCCAGAAACACGGACAGCAATTCCGACCTTCTGGAGGAGAAGTGTTCGTTTTGGTACGGTGCACTTGATGAGCATAATGAAGCCACCCTCACGATGGTGAAGCCGGGAGTTGCCGGGGAGTCCGTGACGCACGTGAACCGTGTCTTGGTCTGTGTTGGGCCGGATGGGGCGGGCGGCCTGAGTTCGCGATAATTTGGGTTTGGTATCTGTGGCTTTCGCATGCTGTGGCAGCAGTTGTTCCCCAGGTGTCTTAACTTTCATCTTCGCCTCGGACACCCTCTTCGAGCAGATGATACAGCTTCCTAAAGAACCCTTCCGGACCTCCTGTGGCGACCAGCGCTGCGTTTGCCTGGCGTGCATCTCGCCCACCGCCAAGGACTGCATGGACTCTGAATATGAGGACTCAGACTCGGACTGACGGTTCTGATGTAATCCTGACGGTAACCGTCAGGCTGCATGAGGCCTGATTTATGTCGGAAGAGCCAAGGGGCCTTCGCGTTGACGCTCATCCTCAGGCTGTCCGATCTGTCATCTAGGGATGGTCTTCGGACGGCGCAACGACCAGACCAAAACGCCTGGTGGAGCGACAGAAAGAGGAACTTGAGCTGTGACCAACCCCAGAATCGATTTTGTGCGTGTATGTGTGTGTGTGCACATACGGAATCATGCGGAGACTTGTTCTTGGCAATGTATGCTCAAGTTGTCACCAAGCAGGATTACTCCGCTTGTGCTTGTCGGGCGAGAGGAGTGGCCGCCCGCGCCCGTGCCCCCCATTTGCACCCGCGATGTCTTCCTAACCGGTCGACGTATGACTTTGACGCAGTTGGCACGATATCTGTTTAGGCAATCGGAAGATGTGCTGTCCATGGTCTTCATGATGTAGATGGGCTGCTAGTAAAGACGAGCAGAAAATCTCCGTCACTCCGAGAGAAAACACAAGTCAACTGCGACATGGTCTCTTGGGATATAATGGACTTCCATTGAATAGTTCCAGTACTGATTTCTTTTGTCACAACGGCATGAACAAATCTCGGCATGTTCCGCAGGCTCTTCGCTTCTTGTTCCACTGCTTAAACTCCGCACTGTCATACTGCTTTCTTTATGAGCTCCGAATGACACTGACCGTAACAGTGGACTTGTAATTTGCATTTGCTCTTGTTCCTGCCTCTTGAATTGCACTATTTCCATCGTACACAGTGGGCCGACCTGATTCTCGTTCTCAGCTCTGTGCCTTCCGAACGTACAGTGCAGTCCTTCTGACGTGTTTTGTTAAGTCTTGGATGCTCCCTGCTTCATACTTCCCTGCACGGCATGTCATGCTCTTGCTGCAGAAATTTCTGCTGGTTGTCAAGTTGCCATGAGCATATTTGGTGAGTTTGGTGGCGATGCAGTGGTGCGTATTGGCTCACCTTGCACCCTCACACACTACATCAACCAAGAAGATGCAGGCTCCCCAGCAATCGAACATTCGCATACCCCTGCTCAGACGAGTCCATCGTCCCGTGTATAAGATAAATGACCGAGGGCGCTCTCTCTGCGCGTACTCGGGAGCGCAGCAGCTGTGGGAACCTAAGATGTGTAGTTCATTTAGATTAAACACCATCGCATTGTGACATTGCGTGGTCCGGTGCAGGTAATGGGTCAGAGAACTCCAAAGAGCAAAGACGGGAGGATGCCTCAGATCACCAAATGACCGTAGCGAGTTGTGCGGACGTCTCGACCGGAGCAAGGCCAAACAATCACAATCCGTTTATGATGGAGCATCCTCACGGCGCGATGTCGCTCGGGCCTTGTCACTCCGCGCAAACCTGCCATTGTGCAACAAATGCCAGAGTCTTGCGACTTCAGAGGGCTCCACTTGAGTTCGTTCAAGGTTCAACCACTTTGAATTGATTCTTGCAGCAGTAGCTTTCGTGTGAGGCTTGTACGGGGGGGCATCGCGGGAACTCCCAAAATCAGGCTCAATGTAGGAGCTCACCTAGCGCGGGGTTTGGAGTGTGAAACATCGCCACGGCGGGGCGGAGAAGGCCATATTTGGGACACAAGCGAAGACCTGCTGACACTCGTGGTGCTGGCTTGGGTGGGGAGGGCTTATCATGCCTTTGGAAGCTGGAAGAATTGGCACCTGTGTCTGACCAGCTGTGTCTCAGCTCAGTGTTCGTGATGCATCTGTCCTTCATGCCTTCACGTGTCGGGAAAGTCGATCAGCCTGTTTGCGCTTTTCGTCGGCTTCAGCACTTGGCCTGCTTCCGGACTGCACCCTTTGTTTGTCTTCCACTGTCGGTCTTTCGTCCCTCCAGTATCCTTCATTCTCCAGGCATCTGCAGGCTGATCGTGAGAGCTCCGTTGGTTCGTCGGACTGTTGCCGCAAACTCTCCTCCACTTCTGAGCTGCGACATGAGACGGCATTGCCCGCGCGTGATTCCAGGCATTCCAAAGTGCCAACTCTAGCGTGGTGATGAAAGATGGTGACATGTCTAGAGTCTAGACTGGAAGCGACATGGGAGCGCGACGCCTCCACCGACTTTCGGGATCAGGGAAGCATCACAACCAGGCCCAGCAAGCGAAACAGAAGGCATCACTCCGCTTGTAAGTGGTTTTCTTAAGCCGCCCGCTCATCAGCCTGACGACTGATGTCCTCCGCTGCAATGGCTTCAATCGCAACCTTAAATCTCGGACTCCGTCGAGAACCAGCTCTTCCACAGGTCCACGCAAAACAGTTCAAAATTACCGCTTTTTCGCATCGTTCACACCGGCACTCGCAGAATGACGTGCAGCCGACCCCGATCCTGAACCCACCCTTCAAAGTATGTATGCATGTGTGTATGTAT